GTATGCCCCGGCGGCATCGCGGCGGAGCGCGCCCGGCCCGACACTAACGTGGGGGACCCGTAGGAAACCCCACGTCTAGCGGAGCGGGGAGGTCAGTGCAAGCCCCCCTCCTTCTTTCCCCCACGCGTGCACAAGCAGGGCAGTACTGCTTTTCTCTCCCCAAAAGCGTACGGTCTCCCAGAAAAATGCATCCATGGAGCCTGCCGGCGGCATCCCACCCGTAGCCCCCCGCTGCCTCGCGTTGGGGTCCCGGCCACCCTCCGGCTTGCCAAAGGGAGCCCCACGTCTCCGGGCAGAGAGACGGGAACCGCTGCTGAAAAAGTAGGGAGAACCTGTTTGCGGCAGGGGGTATTTCCTTGAAAAGTCACTAAAAATTGGTGACCACACAGACTCTTCGAAAGCGATGTTTTAAAGCCCGGTAAAGTTTCAATAAGCTCATCCCTTCCCTCAACTTGCCAGATGAAGGTTTTAACAGGAGACTACAATAGGTCACCTCCACTCTAAGGCAAAGCAAAAGCATTTCTCTCAAACTGTCCTCTGTCTCCTGCAGTGCCAGGCAATGTAAGGGAATGAAAAACTATACTTTTTTTTTTCGGATCTGCCTTATCTTGAGACTTCTTTAACATCATCCATGTTAGGTCTCTCTCATTACCAGACTGTCACCCATCAATATGAGATTAGCAAAGTTATTCTTTTTAAACAAAACCACGCTCCTCCCACTCCCCAGGAACAGTATTAGGAAGAACCAGCCTGGGGGAGAATGGCACACTTGACATCCAAAGCTTGTTTTTGTAAGACTTACCATAAAAAAGAGTGGACCGGATCCTGACAAGGATTGCCAGTTTTGGTGGGCTTGTAGGGAATTCAACACAAGCACAGCACGCCTTTCAGCAGTATCAAAATGGCACAACTATTTTTTGTGAGATTTCTGCAGAAAAATGTTACCGTTCAGCCTTAGTTCCGTTCACAGACCTCAGTGGACAAACCCAGCCCCCAAAGCCAGCTATACTTTTTCCCAGTCGTTCCACTGGATGCTCTTGCACAGCTCAGTGTTGGGGTGAGACCTGTAGCAATCGCAGGAAAGGGGGCGCTGATGCCAACAGCTCTCAACAAGAGCAGGGCAGGCGTCGGGACAAAGTGTGCATGAAATGACCATGCTGGTATGGAGGAGTGGTGGGAAAAACACAACGGACCTACAGCGCTGGGCTCTCCATTTGAACCGTGAGAAGCCACATACGGCCAGGATTGTAGCTGGGTGCTGTAAGGGGCTCCCGGCGGTCACGAGGATCATCCAAAGAGGCTGTCTCCAGCTTGCCTGCCTTTCATTTTTCAGTCTTCAATTTATTCATTTTTTATCAAGCTACTGTTCTATTCCCTCCTTCTTGCCTGGCACTTTCTCACCGTCCTTCCTCCCCTTCCCCATCCCCATTACAGAGCCTGACATTAACGCAAGAAAAAGACTGACTTTGTGAGGACCACTGTAATACACACCTGACTCAAAACTGCAGCCTCTCTTTTCCTCCTTCACCTCTTCTTTTCTTCATCTTCACAGATTCTATGGGAGGATTCTCTTGATATCTATCATTCTAAATTGCCTTTTTCCTTTTTTACTTTAAGTATTCCCTAATTATTTTCCACGACAGTTTATTTTCCATTTTGTTCTCTGTTTTTTACCAAGGCAGTAGTTTTCATCTTCTTTTTACATGCAAATCTTTAGTTTTAATAGTATTTGACTACATTTCTATTGATTAAAAACTCCAGTGATTGAAATATTAAAATACTGAATAAAGCCCACCCCAGGGCTGTGTGCGTATATGCCTCCTTTAAAAGGTGAGAGTAATACCTATCTGAATTTATCAGGTTAATTCAGTCACAAAAGCCATGGATGCAGTCAGGATACTTGGAAGTTTAATCTGTGCTAACTCAGGGTGGGAGGAAAGCATGCACCAAAACCCAGAAATCTCAAGGCAAAATGACGTTGTCAGTTGTGGTCACCTCCCTGGAGTCATGGGGCGCTCCACCTTGGGGGGCTTTCACCCACTTCAGAAGCTGCACTGCAGCACAAAATGTAAACTCACAGTCAAGTGGCCTAAAATATTAAAGTGGATAAAGGTTGAAACTCTCATTTAAACTTACTGGAGACCAAGTCTGGCTTCAAAACCCACTGAAGAACTGTGCCAATGCATTTACACCAGCCTCCATTTGGACTTATCCCAAGCCCACACAGCACAACTTGAAGGAACACGTGGATCACTGTGACAGTGTTTGCACATGGGAGAAAAAAAAGGCCTTCTGCCAAAGAAGTGCAGATGGAAAAAAAAAAAATCTAATTGTGCTTTCTGGAAATACCGTAGTAATTGGGACTCCACTTAAGCGTAACCTCTGGGAGAAACAATTTTGTCCCCTCACCAGTGAAATTATCGCTAGTCTCTGATATTGCAAAGGATCAGGCTGCAAGTCTGCATTGGGGGCTAAATACTCTCCCAACTGAAACAGAAAAACAAGTGTGTAAGAAGGATAAAAATTTGAATAGAATAGTTTAGTTGGAAGGGACCTACAACGATCATCTAGTCCAACTGCCTGACCACTTGAGGGCTGACCAAAAGTTAAAGGATGTTATCAAGGGCATTAAGGGCCTCTTAAATGCTGACAGGCTTGGGGCATCACCACCTCTCTAGGAAGCCTGTTCCAGTGTTTGACCACCCTCTCGGTAAAGAAATGCTTCCGAATATCCAGTCTAAACTTCCCCTGGTGCAGCTTTGCCCCGTTCCCACACATCCTGTCACTGAATTCCAGGGAGAAGATCTCAGCACCTCCCTCTCCACTTCCCCTCCTCAGGAAGCTGTAGAGAGCAATGAGGTTGCCCCTCAGCCTCCTTTTCTCCAAACAAGACAAGCCCCAAGCCCTTAGCCGCTCCTCACAGGACATGCCTTCCAGCCCTTCCACCAGCTTTGTTGCCCTCCTCTGGACACATTCAAGGACCTTCACATCCTTCTTAAATGATGGGGCCCAGAACTGCACAGAGTACTCAAGGTGAGGTCGCACTAACACTAAATTTGGGAACTCAAGCACCTGTGTCCCAGGCACCATTTGCTATCCCTTGGAACTCAGCTGTGTTGCAAGGCCAGCTTCTCTTGCAACATCTCTCATGGTACTCCTAGTTTTAGTCTTGTCTATACACAGCAAGAGGAGGTGGGGGGGAAGGCGCCATCCCTTGTCAAACCACCACCTTCTCAACATGGATTCAGGCCAGGCCCAGTACTAGTCTCCCACTGCCTCTGCACCACTCTGCACTCGGAAAAGACAAGTTCTCCTGCACTTCGTTGGGAAGGAACTGGATAAAGCAACAGAGAGACATCATTTGAGGTAACAGTGCAGTGAAGGTACTTCCCTCACACTATCGGTTCTTGTGTCCAGAGACAGCAGTGGGTGCTCAGTTCGTAAGTTGACACTGTTACAGAATTTTGACCTAGCAGCGGGGCACAGATCATGCTAATGAATAGTTCTGTAGTTCCTTACAGTAATGATACATTAACTCTAATCCTTTGATGCAAATTATGCTCAGCTCTGCATTTCACCTAGGTACAATGACGGGTGAGAGAAAAAAAAACAACTGTGGAGCAAATCGATGTCAGATTCCTAAGGGCATCTTTTTTAAAATGGTTTCTTGGATGAAAATGATTAAGATCTATATAAAATATTTAATGGCCAGTTTGCTTTAACTAGGGTCTGAGGTGCATAGAGGAAGCATTGCGCAGACTCGTATCCATTCCCCATCACATGACCCTGAGCACATTCAAAACTGAGCAGTAGTACTGGAAGGCTTAGTACACCCATGCCTATGCAGCAGAATTTGAGGCCAGCACTGTACTTGGCTAGAAGAGAGAGATCACTTCATCACCGACATGCAGTCCACACAAGCAGACACAAAGAATCATTTAAAACAGCTTTCCTTTATCAAAATGCAGACCTGATGGGATATATAGCTGCATAAAATGTGGTCCCTTAAAGTACAGAGGAAGAATGCGACTGTCACCCAGTATTCATACAAGACATAAACCATGTTACAATACTCTTTACTTGTAAAATACTCTGTCTTTCACTGCATTTACTTTTTGATCAACGCTTCTTAACTGGGGAAGTGAATACAAGAGTGTAGCCAAAGATACTGTATGCAATTAATTTAATAGCATTGTAGAACAGCAAATCCACTCCTTTAGAACATGATTAATCAATATGTGTCTTGAACCAAAGAGAAACCTATCGGTTCCCATGAAACAAAATTTTGCACAGAAGCAAGTTTAAAAGTAGAACACATTACATCTTTAAGATTGTTGCCATCAAAGGTCTGTTTCAGTAAAAGAAAAAAAGATCAGAAGCTACTATTATGGTCATAAAATAAGAAGTATTTCTTTAAAACAATTACAGCAAACATTCCCTGAGAATTAAGAATCAGTAACAACTATTGCCAGATTGGTTTTTCTGTTACAGCGCACAAATGTTACAGCACATTCTCTCCATTCAAAGATCATGGCAGGAAGATTAAAGGCCACAGTTTTTATTTACTATGTCCATCTTCTGGATGCGCTCATTTTTCAAGAGAATTAGATCTGGATGCAGCAACCCTCAGCACTGAAGCTAACCAGGACATGAGGGGAGAGAAGGCAGTTAAAAAAAGGTTTAACCTATGTATTGAGTGTGCGTGTTCAGAATTCCTCACACCCCAGCCCCCCCGTGCTAGGTTTTCTACATTGCCCTTCCAACTTGTAGGCTGTGGCAGCATTCTGGAATATCCCCCTCCTTTCCCCCAGAAACACACATATAAAACACATACCCACCACCAAAATGTTCCACTCACTCAGACAAGTAACTTGTAGTCTAAGCAGAAACGGGAGATAAAGCGGAAGAGTGGAGTAACTATTAAAGTTGAAATAATCAATTTTAATGCCTAAAATTAGATTTTATGGCCCATGGTGTCGCTGAAAGCTGTATGCTGCACAGCTTTATCATTGCATCATTCCTCTGCAAGCAGAATTAAAGTGCAGTAAACATCTGGATTTTGGTGCAACACACTGTCAGGAAAAAAAAAAAAAAAAAAGAAAATCTACTTTTTGTTAATAAATCAGCTCAAGAAAATAGCATTCTGGGGTCAGTTTGCACTGACCCAGAAATATATAAGATCCTATCAGGATCCAAATTCTTGTGTTGTAGAAGAGGGTTTCTTTCTGTCTTGCCCTAACACCGAATCAATATATGCATGTCTCCCTGTGGCTACCTGCTAGTTCCCTGGCTCTTTCTCCAAGACAGCACAATCATTCTTTCCTTGCAACTTGCAGGTCTTAGCTCTGCTGAATTCTTTTCTTTCATTTCTTCAAAGCATCCAGCAGATCTGGCAGTGTCTGCTATTGCTTGATATATGAGTGGTGCAGCCCAGAAGCGTACAGCATTCATTAACAGGAGACTATGAAAATGCGACCAAAGATCTGCAAAGACCCGACCTGCAAAGAGTCTTTTGATGGTAAAGACTGTTGATACGGAGTAACGGCAGAAAGGAGACAGCTTTAAGAAGGTAAAAAATTTAAAATAAAACAGGCTAGCAGGAAACCGGGACAGAAGCCTAACACACACCAATGAGCACTGCAGGACTATCACTGTTCGATCCTGAAAGAGTATTCAAAGGAGACTGGAGGAGCATAAAAACTGAATATCTCTACTTGCCCCAGAAAAACTCAGATGAAAATATCAGCATGTGGGCTGAGGGGTGAAAGTGGGCAAGCAAAGTACTCAACATATCTATAACATGTTGGACACATTCTTGTAAGTATATCTTGGCCACACTGGATCTCTACGCTGATGGCATGCAGTTAATCTGCATGTATGTAAGTTCAACTGGTCTGGACATCAGCTCTCACTTTGGCCAAGCTGTCAGAGGTCCAGAAACACTGAATATATGACCACATTCTCCTTCTATCTCTTGGAAAAACTTTGTAAGTGAAAATAGAAGACAAGTCTAATAAAAGAGATGGTTGTCCTATCTCTAAATCTTGAGGATTGTGATCCAATTAGTGTTGCATATATTTCATTTTTTCCTAAGTGTTTTCTCTATCATCAGACTATCTTTCTGCATGACTTCATCAACTGTTTTACTCAAGGAGATCTAAGGGAAAAAATGTATGAAAATAATCTTTACCATCTTTGTGAAGCGGCAATTACAAAGGTCAAAGAGATCAGCTGGCTATAAACTATGACATTTACTGTCTATCATATTGCACAAGAAAATAATGCAATGTGAGTCACAGTAAAATGTATAAATATAAATGCATCCGAGTGATACAAACCTCAGGTTGACATTACAGTATTTTACAGTGAAAAGCCGCTTTTTTCTTTTCTACAGTGACATAATCTCAAAATACACTGCCAGTTACTTCTATTCTTTATAAGGATCAAGAAGATTCAGGCCTCTGCCCTCCTCATTAGCCAGACAGATTACAAAATTGTGTCAGTGATTCTACTCTGAAGACACCAGCTCATATCTGCTCCGGCCACTCTTTGGCCATTAAGTAGTTGTTGAATGTTTTGCTGGCTCAAGTACTACCTGTACAGCAAACCAAGCCCTAAAATCTCCACATGCTGAAGTGCACAACACTCCATTCAAGCAGTGTTTTACTTAAAACCAGACACTAAGATTAGTGACGCAGTTGACACTTTAGCACAAGTCTGCTTGTTGGGAAGAGAGAAAGGTTCTTGGTGTGTCAGATCTCCTCTACTTTCTCTCTAGACAGGAACTGCCAGACACGACGGAGTATAGATCTTGACTAGTTCATCCCAAGCACAGTCCACCACCTGCAAAGCAAACAAAATCTATTTAGATCCTTCACAAGTGTCATTTTTACAAAAAACTAGAAGAAACTTCGAAGAAATTAATGCATATACTGGAGTTCATGTTGTTTGGTACTCTGATTTACAATGCTTCAAAATTATATAATAATGCAGTTTGTTTTGTTTTGTTTTGTTTTTTTTAAACTTTGTCTTAACTTCACTGAGGTCCATGAAAATTAATTGTTTCCTATTTTTCATACTCCCCATAAGGAAAGCAGGGAAACCTTTGGGTTTCAATTGATTGTTTCAAATATGCCGAAGAAAGTAACTGAGAATGAGGTGAAGGATGGACACACAGAAGTCCAGACCTTGTGGTGTTTCTTCTCTTTACAGGGTCTCAGGACTCTTCTATATCTAAACACTTCATGATCAAATCTGAACAACTTTCTTGTATTTGCAGGTAGGGAAAAGTATTATAGACATTTTCCTAATGGAAAGCTGAGGAATGGAAAAAAATAAAGAAGCTGACAAAAACGATGCTAGAAGTTTCTTAAAGAATTAAGCCAGAACCTCAGTCTCACGCTGATAAGCTATCAGTTCCCTGTATTGTCTTCTGTTGAGAAGACAGATGTCTACTTGCTGAGCATTGAGCATTAGGGGTGGTGGTGTTGCTTCAAGCACGACCCAGACCCCACTAGTCTGATGAGAAGCAATGCCACTTCTGCCAATGGCAATCGATTCCAATATAATTTAAACTTTTCTGAATTGCAAGTCCCAAGCTCTATTATAGAGGCAGGTGTGAATCTAAAAATCACAAAACCAGAAGATTAACCTATTTCTATGGCGTTAAAAGATTTTAATAAATAACAAGATTCCACAGAAGACGACTACAGAATGCTTTAGGCTTGGAAATGATTTGATAATGCACTTTAGAACCTGTAATAAAGTGAAAGAGTTAACCACACTGACAATTACTCAAGCAGATGAACTATAATATATATTCACAAAATATTGTGGGGGACAAGAACTAAGGCAAAGGGAAGATGAAAGAGGAGAGCTAAAGAGAAAACGCTGATGAGCCCAATAAATATATGCCAGTAAATCTGGCTGAATCCATCTTGCATTATCTTTACAATGTCCTTTCTAGTTGGGATCACAAAGGATACAGTATTGGATCCTCTGCACAACAAGCTTCCTTCTGCTGCAGCCTGCAATTCCTGTTCTCTTCTAGAGCCAGAATGAACAGCTGCACACTAAAAATTTGGAAATCCAACTTCAATATTTGATTTCAGACTATAATTAGCCCATTTTGTGTTTACTATACTGGACTATTATTCATTTTTATTACTTCCTTAGCTGGTTCTACTTAGTTATTTGAAGTGCTTTCCATATACATCTAAATGGATCAAAAAAATCTCTTGACAAAGTGTCTGTCTATTCATACAACATAATAGAGCTTTGTGTAATATAATGTTCTGCTGCATTGCAGTCCCCCAAATCATACCAAAAAGAAAATTTGAGTTCTCCACTAAACACTATGTAGAAACTGGCAATCGTATAAAACACTTTTTTTTTTTTTTTTTTAGTCTCCACAGCTCTGGATCAGTATCTGTATTTCTATAGGCAACACTTTCTACTTTCATAAAGAAACAAGAAACAGAGATAACATTTGGAAAAAATCCCATGGGAATTCCCACCTGTTATCAATATAATTAGCATCCCTGAAGTAGCCTCTGAACAAATATAGTTACAGAACCATTTAATCTAGCAACACTAAAAATAAACAGGGGATATGAAAAGGGAGTTTGAAAAGGATCACTTGCAGTAATTTGCCCAACTCATTGACTTAATGATAGCACATGAAAGATGAAAACATAACCAGCAAACAAAAGGAAAATAAAAGCTACAGCAAATAATGGTGTATCAAGTTCTCCTGTGCAGCAGGAAATCTATAATGGAATACTGATATCAGAAACCTTGATGAAAATACACATGCAAAGAACAGCAAACAATTATGTATGGGAACTGGGATGCTACAGCATGGAACAGCATTACAAAATGCAATAGCATTTCCATTTCTCCAATACTTCCACCAAAACACAGCCAAGACTGTAAGAGAAAGAAGACAACTGTAAGCTAACAGCATTAACTGATGGACAGCTGCTACATGCCCCTTTGCAGTATCTCATAGATTATCACTGCCTCAAATACAAATGACTAAAATGAACACTGGGACAGAGAAGTGCCTTTTCATGCAGCTACTGCATCAGTTTACAAAATGACATTTCTTTTCATTTTGCTTTTTTTCTTATGACCTGTCTTATGACCGCTGTATGCCTTTCCCCAGAAAAGGGAAACATAGGATATTGAATGTAAGTGCTTTAAAAATATTTAGACATGTCAGTTCTCATGTGACATATGAACATTTTTAATACACACGTTAAAGCACTTTACCCATGTTATTTTTTTTAATATACTTCAT